GGCTTGAACTTGGAATCCTTCTATCTCAGCCTCCCAGAGAATTTTATAAATAAAATTTTGAAAGACTGTCTCTCAGATAAGTTAACAGAAGAATATGTTGAGACAGACTTTATGTTTACCTATGTCATTTTTGTTTTCAGTGTTCTTACGTGGTTGGTTGGTTTTTGTATTTGTTTTGGTGGTGCTGAGGAATGAACCTCAGGCCTCACACATGGTACCACTGAGCTAGCTTTCTCAGTGTCATTTGTTTTTAGCCCTAATGACTCTTTACTGTGTAAGGCAAATTTTACTTGCAGTGAATTTTCTCAAACATTGCCTCAAAATGTCTTTACTTGGTCTTTATTTTTGAAGGTCATTTGCCTAATTGTAGAATCCTTGCTTGGCAGATGTTCGTCTTTGAGCATTTTGAATATGTCACTTAAATACTCTCTTCCGTGTTGAGAAGTCAGCTGTTAGAAAGGAAATTCTAGGCCCGGGGATTTAGCTCAGTGGTTCTGCCACCTGCCTTGCAAGAGCAACGACCTGAGTTCGATCCTCGGTACCAAAAAAAAAAAGGAAGGAAGGAAATTCTATTTGATTAGATTTATTTCTTGCTGCGTTGGAATTTTGCATTGCAGATGTCTGAGTATAGCCTGTGGAGTTTGTTACACTTTGTTACTGTGAATTAGTGCCTTTCATCCAATGTGGGGGAGTTGTTTGCCATTATTTGGTCACAGGTTTCTTCTCCCCTCTTGTCACTTCTCTCCAGTGGGACTCCCATAACACATGGCTTGATGTACCGCATCCAGATTCAGTTCTGGTTTTCGGTTTATTTTTTTCTTTCTACAGACCGGATGATTTTTACTCATCTGCTTTCAGGTTTGCTGATTTTAATGCCATTTCACATCTTTTGAGCCTCTCTAGTAAACTTTGCATTTCATTTACCATAGTTTTCACCTCAGAATTTCCATTTGATTTTTTTAAACTAAATATATAACATCTGTGTCTATATTGACAGTGTATCTATAATGTCATTGTTTTCATGACTTGAATTCCTTTAGGTCTTGGAACATATTTATTAAAGGTTGTTTGGCGGCGTGTCACGCATGGTCTAATTCAGACCTGTTTGCAGTGACGCCTGTCTCCAGGGCAGTGGTAACAAGGACCGTGGGAGTGCTTTGGGATCCTCCTCGTCCGTGTCAGGATGCCCTTGAGGAAGGTGCCATAGGCTGGGTGGGCAGCTTGTGCCCATTCTCCACCTCCTTCAGAGGGCTTGGGACCCTTGGGGCCGGGAGATATCCATTGGGGGCAGGGGGGCTTCCCAGCCAGTGCAGACTGGGAACATGGAGCAGGACGGTGAGTTGAACCCCCACCTCCTCTCTCCCCGCATCGGCTGTGTGCTCAGGGACAAGCCCTTCTGCCTGCCTTCCCCTTCCCCATCTGCAGAATGGCAGGAATGGCGGTGACAGCATCCACTTCAAGGAGTGACGGTGAGGTGTGGTGAAGTTAGCACACGTAAGTGTTTGGGGCAGGCCTGCTCTCAGCGTTTTGAGCGCTGTTGCCCTGAGGGGTGGGGTAGCATTTTTATCTGGAGCCCTGTCCCTGCAGAAGCCCTGAAGGTGCCCCGCAGCCGTGGCCCCGCTGGGCCTTCCCCACCTGCACCCGGGGTGTGTGTGTGTAGATAAACTGAGAGGCTGCTATGGAAACAAGCAGACAAGCACCTCCTGCAGCCCTTAGGCCTCCTCTTAAAAGACACTTCAGGGATTTTCTTGAAAATTGAAGGCCTTCCGGTAAGGAGTTGAGAGCAAAACCAGGAACAAGCCCGTGCCTCCAGGCAGGCCAGGCTGACAGAGACGGGACCATTACTTAGCTTCCCGAAACCCAGCCACCTCCTGCCAAGGGAGCCACTCCCAGGTCACTCCTGACTTCCCCAGGTGAGGTCTTGCTTTCACAGCAGTTTCTCCTAAGTCCTCTTGGCTGTGTGGAAGAAGCAATCTGGCTCCATTTTGTCTGAGGACTTCAGGGGGGACACACTCACCAGGGTCGTATTCAGCATCTGTAAAGCTAGATGGCTGTTTTGGGGGTTTGGGCTCACTTGCGCTGCCTTTTGGTCAGCTACCCAAGTCACCATCGGTGGCCCGGGTGACTGCAAGACCCTCATCCCTCTGGCTCTTGGGGCCTTGGTGAGCCACACCACCCATCCACAGGGCGTGACGCACTCCCGCATCCAGCCTTGAAAACCCCACCCATCCCTGCCCTCACTAGGGGACAAGAAGTGAGGTTGGGTCCTGACACAAACATCCTGTGTCCCTGCACATCCCACCCTGGGCCATGCTGTGGGGAAACCACTTGAGTGGTGGTGCATGTGCCCCTTCCCAGAAAATGTCATTCAGTTGGGAAAACCCCTCAGAAGAGCACATCTGCAGGTTCCACTCTGACACCACGTTCCTGGAGCTTTGGCCTTCACGTGAGACTTGCAGTGTCAGCTGTCATTTCCCCTCCTGGTGACCCTTAACCAAGTGAAAATCTAACCTTGGGGCACCTGACATCTGTGCCAGTGTCTTCCCCATGCTGTGTGCGAGCTATGCCTGCCGGGATGCCAGGGACAGGGCTCTGCCGGCTCACGCAGGTTGGAAGGCAACTCCTTGCCCTCCAGGATGCTTCAGCCCGTGCGTGCTGCTGTCAGGGCTGGAGCACCAACCTGCAGGGCCATGCAATCAAATTGTGGCATTTGGGGAAAGTCGCAGCAGGCCAGCCAGCCAAGGTAGTGCCGGCTTCGCAGCCCCTAGGGAAACTAGTTTTGCTGGCCATGGGCAGAGAGGAGAGGCTCTGAGCCGTCCTGCGACCTAGGTGACTGTCTCATTTCCCACACTGAGAAACCCTGACGACTCAGTCCTCCCCTTCCTTCCTCTCCAGTCTCTGCACAGAAAACTTGTTAGAACCTAAAGCTTTTCAGCTTTTAAGTGCAAGGGATCACGCACAAATTCTCAGAGCCAAAGTGTGTGTTTAGGATGATTGTCAGATTGTAACTTGCAAGAGTGTTTCCTGTTTGCTTTTGTTGTTTTGATTGGGCCGTTCATTTTCCCCCACTGCTCGGATATTTATCAGTCTGGAGCCTACCCTAGACCCTGTGTGGCAGACCCAGGTGGGTGGCTTCTGGAATGACCCAGGGTAGTATTGGTGGCACCTTAAGGAAAAGCTCAGGAGCAAAAAGCTCTAGAAGACAGGAGGAACTTCCCTCCGTGCACATCGTGTAAGTTGACAAAAGTTCTGCCCACTCAGCTGGTAATTCTGGCATGATGACTGTTATTTTTCCATACTTTCCTACTTTCTTAATCTTATGTAATGTCAAGAAAAAAGAAGATGGAAAAAAAATCAAGGGAAGACCTCATCCCGGGCCACCTGAACGGGTTGACCAGTGTGGTGGGAGGGCCACGTCAGCCCCTCCTGGCTGCAACTCCCGGGTCCCGGGTGAGCCTTTTTGCAAACATCGTAATTCTTGTCATCTTCCTGCAATTTAAACTTCGTGGCGGTTCTACATTTTATGCTAAAATTACTCATCCCCTCCCCTTTGCAGCAGGATGATGAATGCTCTACAGATGGCAATAGCTCCTGTTCTCCAGAGCCTAGTAATTAGGATGAAGAAGAGAAAAACCCCAAAACTTGCTACCTACTCCACAATTCCAGACCTGTTCTGGAAGTTTGAAATTGTAGCTCAGAAAAGCGACACCCCAAAGCGAAGCAGGTTGCCAACACGAGTTGCTAGCTCTTTCCCAAAGCAGACCCTGGGAACCGGCACCCTTCTCACACAGCCACGAACCCTAAGACCATTGCTCTCGTTTTGCTGTCTTTCTGGGCAAGAGCTGGTAGGAGAGAAAGTCCCTAATCTGCCTTTGTGATTGGAGGTCACCAGATGCCTGGCCAGAAGGGGTCCCGCTCCTGGGAGGAAAGTGTGCTGCACAGAGGGCCAGGAAGAATCTCACGGCCCTGCTGGGTCCCCGTCCCACCTATTGCTGCGAGACTGCACCCTCTGCCAGTCACATCACCATGGTTCATCCAGCCTCGCGTGAAAAGGACTCATTCATCAGCCTGGTCTTTGGGGTGCTCCCCGACGCTCGGGGTGCTGCTGTTACATTGAGTTCAGCGTTTTTCTTAATGGCTCTCAGGTATTCTTTTGTCCCTGCAGGCAAGAGCCAAGAAGCACATTGCCGGGCCAGAGTGGGCATGTTGGGCCTGCTTCAAGTCCTGGCCACTAGAAGAGGGCCATGGTGTAGTTAATTCCTGGGACTTTGTCCTCCAAACCTCTCAGAGTCCAGAGACTTGCCCAGCCTGCCACTCTAATGTGGGGTCCACCTGCACATCCTCATTCACACATAGCAATTGAGTGCACACCCTGGTAATCAAACCGAAGCTCCTGGGGCAACTGTACAGCTATTCTGGGCCTTCTAGGGTCTGAGAAAAGCAACCTTCTCATTAACAATAAGTTCCCCATGGGTATGGGATAGCATTCTGGAGAGTGAGGCTTCCTGGAAGGCCAAGCAAGGCCTGGTGATTGCTCTGTGGATGTGAAAACACATCCAGGAGAGCATTTGTGAAACCAGTGCTGGGACTCAGCAGGGTGTCTTTCTGCAAAAGTTCAGCTCCTACAGTAGCAGGAAAAGTGGCACCAGTGATGATGAAGGTGACCGAAGTACACCATCATCTCTTGCTGCTCTCGTTTGATCTCGGGCCATAACGTCCCTGGACACCTCCTGCTGGGCCAGGAGGACCAGCCTCCTCTTCTCCCCTCCTCCTTTGTCCTCTCCCCTTCTCCTCCCATTCCTTCCCCACCTCCTCATTGTCTTTCCTCCCCTGTGTTAGCTTTCCATCACTGTGGTAAAATGCTGTACCTGAGATCATCGACTTAAAAGAAGAAATGGTTTATTTCGGTTCACGGTTTAAAAGGTTTCAGTCCATGGTCTCTTGGCTCCATTGCCTTGGGCCTGTGTTGAGGCAGCACATTATGACAGAAACGCACGTCATAGAGGAAGCACCTCATGAGGGCCAGGGAGCAAAGGGAGAGGCTGGGCCCCAATTTACCCTTCAAGGGCAGGCCCCGGTGGCCTCACTTCTTCCCACTAGGCCCCACCTCCTAAAGGCTCCATCTCTCAATTGTACCAGCAGGTGAGGCGGGGCCAGCTGTCCCAAAATGCCAGTGAAGGGGACAAGAACAGGGCAGGGTGAAGAACAGGTCCAGGGTTCAAGATCTGTTGTGAAGGCGCTGACTCAAACTTTGCGGTTTGAGAGAAAAGAGCGAAGGCAGTGGGTGTATACAGCAGGACTGTGGCCCACTTGTGTTATCTCAAGTGTGGGTCTGGGAAAAGCGTCATTGCCGGAGGGGGCGATTGTGTTCCCATCTTGAGGAGACAACTCTTGCTCTAGGGGCACAACCTTGGTTCTGTCACAGGGCAGTTATTCCCACTGTGGGGGAGGCACTCAGTGCCCACCAAGGGGTAATGGCTCCCACTTGAGGGTCATCCGTTCTGTGAGGCTCCCTGTTGCTTGAGGGAGCATGAAGATAGCCTTTTCATAAAAATAGCCAGACCTGTCATTCCTGGAATCAAAGGTGAGTGGCTCAAAAGAAATGTTAAAGGGACAAATGGAATCAGAGGAAAATGGAGTTGGACGGTAACAGGGCCTCCTCTGCTGGGGGCCTCCTCTGTGGGCTGGGGAGGAGTTGAGCCATTTCCCAAGTGACTCTTCTACCTGACCCTGCAGGGGAGGGGAGGGAGAAGGCTGTGCCTCCGCACTTGTGAGAACACACCGTGTCAGGACTTCCAGGACATGGGGACTCGTAGGCCTTACAACCCAAACTCAGAGAAGCAGCATCCTAGTACAGTTGTCTCCACAAAGCGGCATCCATGGTCCGTGTGTGCCTCGCAGTGTCCAAGCAGCCAGTGGTCCGGCCACTTCCCACTTTTGCTATGACTTAGGGGGGAAATAACACCACAGTGTTCTTTATTTTTCACCTAGAAATCTCCTAACTTGGAGGTTAGGGTCCTGGGTCCTGGAAATCTGATGACTGATCTCCTCAGAAGAGCAGACCTTAAAATTAGAAGCTGTGGATGCCATTTGGGGGCCCTGTGGGCCCTTGGAGAAGAACCCTCACCCTCACGGTAGTCTCCCACTCTGAGAAGCCATGGCAGCCAGCTGCATCCACAGTCAGAGCTGCACCCTGCAGTGGGGGAAAAGGAAGCTGGGAGCCTGGCTGGACCACATCCAAGCAGAACCTCTGAGGACCCCAGAGAGGCTCCAGCAGAGTGCATGAACTCAGCTCTGCAGCCAACTTCCATGCTAAAAGATTTAGCTCCCTAACAGAGGCCCAGTGGGACCTGGATGAAAAGCAGGCATTGGAACAGCAAAGAAAATAGAAGCCACCCCACTGAGAAATGAAGACTGGACTTGAACTTTTTATTAACATAATTATTGTTGCAGTTAGGAGTAATAATTATGTTCTTTTGTGGCATAGTAGGATGAATATAGTATAGACCGCTAAGTTAGATAAAAACATTATATACAGTCAGATAGGGCTGGGCCCTCGTGGGAGTTAGCACACAAGGTAAAAACGCACCACAACTGTGGCTGGAGACACATCCGTTGGAGACCAGGCCTCAAGATAAAGATGATATGACCAGGCCTGCACACTTCCTCAGAGGACAGCACTGGGCCTAATGAAGTCAAGACAGACACCAGCTGCCTCGGTGGGTGACCAGGACCTCCAGACCCATCATTTCCCAGGAGTCTTTGTTCTTTCCCAGCACACTTGTTATGTGACGTATTTCCCCATTGGCTCACTGTTACTAAGCGACTATACTTGCAACCTTATCGGTTGATCATAGCTGTAACCTGTGTTGTACCCATGTGGGTTTGTTCTATAAAGCTTCTGTACTGCGGGGTCCTGGCCACCCAGTCAGGGACCCCTCCTGCCTCTCAAGAGCTGTCCGCTCAAATATTTTGTTCCTAGACTTCATTCTTCAGTTTTAGAGAACACCATCTCAGTGTTTCAGACATCTAACAGGTTGGGAGATATAGTATTTCCATATTTCATCTGTGTTTCAAATACAGTTGATAATCATGACATATATGTCTCAAAATAGAAGATTCGGATGTACTCACCATGAAGGAATGACTGAAGTTTAACTTTTTTACATACAGCATTGCTCTCAGCTTGTATGTGTGGGAAACCCAACCCCACCCTACCCCACCCCGTTCTTCAACACCAACAGGGCATCCTGCACTTCAATTCCATCCTGATGCCGACAACCCAAAGTAGGCATCAGACAGAGCTGCAGGCCCTAGGTACTTCTTTCTGACTTGGCTACAAAGCTGGGATTTCCTACCACCCACACATGATTCATCAGTTTTCTATAGCTGCCTACAAATCTCAAGAGAACACTACCTACCACTGCTAGTGTACAAACAGACACCCAGATAAAGAAGTACATTGGGCAAGGTCTGGAAGGGTCCCAGGAGCTGCCATCCCAAGAAGTTAGGCTGTGCCTCCATGCTGGTTGTGTCTGCCAACCCAAACCCCATTGTTCAGTTATTCAGAGAGGCTTCATCACGTAGGCATGATCTACCAAATTGTTGGCCATTGGTGGTTGACTCTGCACCCTCTCCCTTCCTCAGAAGGCAGAAAATGGGCTACAAGTCCCATCCCTCAATTCGGCCCTGTCTTCCTGGACCCAGCCCCTGTCCTGAAGGTTTCAGGGCCCGCCAGCCATGGCTGTCGGATTAGCACACAAAAAACACTTGCCACTCTTGTCCCATCCAAAACTGCAGAGAATAAGGAGTGCTATATACTGCTTTCCCTGCACACATTCCTGTGATGAAGTTTAACTTATAAATTGGGCACAATAAAAGATTCTCCGTGACAAGTAGTAATAATAATGCACTGTAATAAAGCTGGACGAATGTGCTGTATTTCTCAGAATATCTTAGCATTTTTACCTCCTCCTTATCCAAGACTGACCCTGGCTGACTGAAACCAGTGAATATAAATTGCAGGTAGAGGAGGCTGCTGCCTGCATTTCTCACTGTGTCCCAGCTTCGAGTCTCAGCCTTCCATGGGCACGGGGCCTTGGGCAACTGAGGGTCTGCCTTGCCCAGGATACAAAGACTGCTCGTTTCCCCGTGGCCCCTCTCCAGAATCTGCCGACATTATGACACAATGTTTTTGGTTGTTTTTTGTTTTGTTTTGTTTTTTGAGAGCTCTCTGGATGCATAAAGCTCAGGCTCCACAAATCTGCTCCTGGGTATATAATGCAGTGTGGCCTTTCTCATTACAGGAGATCCCAGTCCAGCAGCCTCCTGAGTGGCGCCATTGTAAGTCAAGAGCTCTGCCCTGCAAACGCAGATACCAGGACCTCCAAAGACTGGAATTATTTTGGGACTCAGTCACCCCCTCCACCGGGGGAGCCCTAGCTCTTCCTACAACAAACTGCTGGTTAGCAGCACCTCTTTCAGATCCCTCAGGCTAAGCCCTCATGTGCCCCCCACCACCTCCCCACTTCTAGGCAGGTTTTGGCTCTGGAGGTTTGGGCTCAAGTTTTTGACTCAAGCACCTTTCTCTGCTTAAGTCTGCTTTCCCCTGCCTGCCAAACATACCGCCATCCTCTCCGCTCAGCCCCTGGCTCCCACCGTGGCTCCTGCCTCACAGGTGAATTTGACAACCTACATTTAACCTAGATTAAAATTGCTTCAAAATAAGAGAATCACAATCTGCACGTCAATCGTGTTGATCACAAATACAAGCAGCAATCAGCTTTGGTATCCTGACAGCTGAGCTGCCTCGCTGTAGAGCGGCTGGCGTCTTAAAGCACTGACTCCGGGGGTGGAAACGAGCAGCGAGCACCGGATGGGCCCGAGGGTCATTTCTAAGTCAGCACAGTCGCCCGTGCTTGGCAGGTCGGGCGCTGGGCGGGACGGCCCCTCGCCACTCCTGACAGCCCCTCCCACGTACAGCTAGCGCTTCGTTATTTATGGTAATGGGGCCAGGGACGGCATGGGTAATTGAAATTAGCGCATCATTAAAAACGAAGATGCACTTGGGGAAGTAATTTAAACTCCTCTTCCTGGGCCTCTTCTAGGGAGGCTGCTGAAAACCTGCCACGGGCCCCTCCTGGCCTCTGTCCAACCAAGGGGGCAGTGGGCAGTGTCCGTCTCTTCCTGGAGGAGCTGAGGGTGGCCAAAAGCGACCTGGCTAAGCCTAACAACCCTCACCCTCACGGTAGTCCTCTCCCGCTCTGAGAGGCCATGATGGCAGCCAGCTGCGCCCATGGCCAGAGCTGCACCCCGCGGAGGGGAAGAGGAAGCTGGGACCTGACGTGCGAGCAGAACAACAGAAGAAGCCGAGCACATCCGTGGGGGACCGGAAGTCACATGAGGTGCGCTCTTTCCTCTCTGAGTAGCCCTGGGGCAGAGGCCCAGCCGCACCCGCCTGGGGGGAGTCTGGAGGGAGCATCATCCCGACTTCTAGGCCCGCTAAAAAGCAGTGGATTCCCACCTGTGGGTAGACCGTGAGTGTGCAAATGTGTGTGCAGCGACAGTGACTGTGCACGTGAGCTGTGTAGTACGTGAAAGTGCTGTGTGGAAGAGTTTACCCACGAGTGAGTTGTGTGAGAAGGTGCGTGCGTGTGAGTTTGTGAGAGTGAGCATGTTTTTGAGAGTGAGTCATTACGTAAACTTTCATCTAGTACAGAAATTACAATTTACCCTAACTCTTTTCCCTGCAACTTGTCCAGAAAACAGGGCTTCATCAAAAACCCAGGGAAAGCGGGTTGGGTGGGAACTGGGTGCCAATAATCTACAGTATTTTCATAGTGGCTCAGTTTGTTTCAGGTGCATTTTTTGTTTAATCTGCCTCAAAGTTGTTTTTTTTCTTTTCTTTCTTTTTTTGTAAACTGAGAAAGAATTCATGAACTTTTCGGGTCTACCAGTCGGTGGTGTTCAGCATATTCACAGGGGTGTGCAAGCCCCAGTCTTATCTAAGCCCAGAGCACCTGTATCCCTTTCCCAAGTAAAGCCCTACCACATTGCCCCTGCAGCCCAGCTCCTAGCGAGCATGGATTCACTTCCCATGGGCATGGGTTTGCCTGTTCTGGAGATTTCCTACCAATGGAGTCATACAATATGAGGTCCTTTGTAACTGGCTTCTAGCATGATGTTTCCAGTGTAATCCCTGCTGTGGTATGAATCAGTATTTCATTTCTGTTTATATCTTCTGTCCTGCAGATAATCCATGCTTGATCATTTACCAGTTAATGGGCTTTTGGGGGTCCCACCTTCTGGCTGTTAAGAAACAACATTGCCAAGTGTATGGATGAGTGTTTCCATTTGTCTCGGGTCTACCCTGGAGGGGAAGAGCTGGGGTGTGATAATTCTGTTTGCTAAACTTTTGCAAAGCAGCTCCGCCAGCTTGAAGTTTTGGTTCTGGTTTCCTCCTTTGCTCTTGTGTTTGTCTGTTTTTGTTGCATTTCCCTGGACGGGCGACTGCAGACCCTGCGATGGAGGCAGCGGGTCTGTGTGGCCCATCAGTTGCTCCCTCTTCTGTTACTGGAGCGACACCCTTTTTCTTCTGTCTTACGTTGCTGCTGTGGTCTCTTGCTTCCGCTGGCCGTTTATTTTTCAGCTGTTCTTGCTGACATTGTCTCCATGTGGCCAGTGGACAGTTCTCTTCCCTCTCTTGCTCATCTGTACAGTTTTCAGGAGAACGGGTGGAGGATTCTAATTTGGGCCGCTGCCGTTATCTTTTGGGAGAGCTGAATACTTATTTTCAGATAGTGAAAAATGGCATAAGGAGGAAAAATGGGCTGAAGTAACAGAACAAATAAAAATCTGAAATGTATAGGATGCTGTTAGGAGGTGATTTGTGTCCCCTCTCCCCCAGAAGACATGTTGAAGTCCTAATTCCCATACCTGGGAATGTGCCTGCACTTGGAAATACGTGAGGGCGACGTTGGGAGCTAATTGAGAATGACTTACAGGAGCTCTCCTTGTAGTAGGACAGAGACATGGATACCTAGGGAGGGTGCTAGGTGACAGTGGTGACCGAGAGCAGTAACCCAAGGGTGGATGGCAGTCCCAGCACTAGGAGGAATACACAGAGAGGGTTCTTCTCAAGCTTCAGGAGAGAGCATGGCCCTGCAGACCCTGACTGTGGGTTTCCGACTGTGTGACACTAAGTGTCTGCCATTTAAAGCCATCCAGTGCGTGGGGCAGGTAGCCCTGGGCAACTAAGACAAGCACCAGGAGCTTATTCCAGGAAGACAAGGGGCAGGTGCAAAGTTCTGAGCACGGACCTCGCCTGAGGGGCAGTGTCGCAGTTGGCCCGGCTCTCCTGGCCTCTCCGAAGCCTTTGGGTTTGATCCCATGAGGAATAGAGTCTGTTTCGAAACAGGCACAGCTTAATTAAAGTCATCTAGCTTTTCTGTGGGAAACAAAAGTGGAGTGACAGCAGTGGGAACAGGGTGGCCCTTTCCGTGGCCACCGAGCTGTCCAGAGGCTGTCTGAGCCAGAGAGGGCCGAGCTGGACAGCTGTAGGAGGCCAGGTTGATGCTGCCATTGCTGGGCTGGCCGTCGGTGAGAGGGGCCGAGAGGCGTCCAGGATTTAAGTTTGTGCAGGTGATGACTGAAATACCCATCAGCTGTTCAAGCGTCCAAAGAGCTTCTGGTCTCTCTCAAAAGATGATTATTAGCACAGGTTTCTTGTGCTCCTTCAATATACATACCTGTGCTTTGCAGAGTACAGGGAGGCCAGCTCCTAAGCAGGCAGACGTTCAAAATGGGTCCCCTGAATGTGCGCAGCCACAGAAGCAAAAAGGAAAAAAATCGTGGGTCCGAGTTGTGGGCTCCGGCTTCCCCCTGTGTGGCTGTGTGGGAGTGGCTGGGTGGAGGCAGCCGGAGCGCTGGTTCAGGAAGAGAGAGCTCGGCCGGCTCTCCACTTAGGACTTCTACCGGGTTTTGGAGCACAGCCCGAGGAGGGAGTTGGAGGGATGTAAGTGTTCCCGGGGAGCTGGAGCTCCGCAATCCCCAGCGAGAGCACAAGAAGCTGCAGTTGATGCTGTGGGTTCACCCACAGCGAAAGACCTGGTCGCCGCTTTCCAGGGAGCCACTTCCATTAGAGGAGCGCAAATGGTTAGAAGGGACACAGACAGCATGAGAGTTGAGCAAGATTTGCACTTCGGCTGCAATGCCAATACCGAAAACTGTACGAGTGACGTTTGGGGGCGTTAGAGCTGCTCTGCATAGATATTTTTGGTTTTCTTTCTTTCACCATCAACTTGCTTCTGCTTATAGAGAACTCCTCGTATATAGGTGGGAAGGGGGCACGGTGCAGGCCGGTATCCCTGGAGCAGCTGGGAGCCAGCGCCCAGGACCCCTTCCAGATTGGAGGAGGCTGTGGGAGGTGGGAACAGAGGCCTGGAGCTTGGAATACGCTCCCAGCCAGGTGGCACCTCTGTCCTTAGAGCAGGAGAGAGGCTCAAAGGCTTCAGGAGACCAGATTTAAAATACCGTGGAAGAGAGGGTGTCTGGCTTTGAGGGTCTTCTCTGAGAGTGCTCAAGTGCCAGCCCAGAAACAGAAAAAGCAGAAGGTTGGGGTTTTCAGGCCAGGCTTGTCCAGGTGAGTGAAACATACAGAGAGCCAAGGGCCCACCAAATATTGGCAGAGAAGCCAGTCAGTGAGGCTGCTATAACCTTCAGGATGCACATATTTTAGGGACTTCGGAGGGTTCCTCAGTACGGTGTGGGTCCAAGGTAGGGGCGCTTCTCCTCCGTCATTCAAAGACCTCGGTCCATGATGGCACCACTGCCTTCAAACATTTGGCTTCCTGGTCTCCCTGACAGGGGAAACAGGTCCAAGGCTGGCTGTGGAGGGAACAGGAAAGTCACACTGGTGATTTAAAAGGGTCAGACCGGAAACAGCCTATGTGCCCTCACCTAGCTGCAAAGGACAAGAGAAATACTCAATTTTGCACAGGGTGTGAAGGAAGCAAAGGGTTTAGTGATCAACAGCCTCTCTCTGCTGGAATGAACAACATGGAAGCAGCCCGAGGTGCAGCAGGGAGGCCGGACAGTCCTCTGGGAGTCGGAAGAAAAATGACCTCTGCACTGGAGAGAAGCACGGCCCAGGGGAAAACCAACCTCAGGTGCTGCCCAGGGCCACTGTCAGACAGCGGCTGTGGGCTGATGCGGTGAAGTTTACAGAGAAGGAGAAAGTATGACATGAAAAAGATGTGTTAGCTGGGACCACAGCTCCCGGCAGCCTAGAAAGCAGATTCCCACATGAGATGCGGAGTCCTCGCCTGCATGTCAACGCGGTTGTCCCTGCACGCGTCCACTACCGAAGAGAAGGCTCACAGCCCTGAGAAAACTTAGCAATTAATTTTTACAGTACAAAAGATTCCACATTTAATGATCGTTCAGCCTTTTAATGTGCTTACCTGTCAAGAGGCATTAATTGGCAAAATGAGGCTGTGCTTTCCTGCAATGCTACTACTAAAAATGACCCTTAGAAACACGTCTCTTGCCAGGCTCTCCCTATTTCCTTCTGAAGCTTGCAGAGCCTATCTTTGGGGAGTGGGAAACTGAGGCCCCGAGCCGTTTCAATGCGGCCCAAGTGCCCAGCCGAGGTAGAGAGCTGCCCTGGACTGGGAACAGCACTGGGGACTCAGAATACAGGTGGCATGGGCAGGCAGCAGAGGGAAGATAGGGCACCCACTGTTCTGGGAAGTCCGCTGTGCACCCAGGAGGCATGGGATCTCCCGGGGCCAGGTGGCAGCACCCGAGCCATCAGAACAGCAGAGCTTTGAAGAGAGGCCCCACGGCCCGGTCAAGGGGATGGTTCCAGGTTACGGCGATGGTGGGATGTATTTTATCAAACTCTATTGCAAAAGGTTTTATTAGGGGAAAAAAGGCTCATAAAGTTGATTTTTAAAAAGCATGCGCAATAAGAAGGCAGCTCTGACATTTCTTTTTTGGACGTATCTGCTCTTTTATCAGACCACTGAGGGGCTTTGTGTGGTTGCTTTTCCTCTACAGAAAGTTCTGACCACGTAGATGCGGGTGTGGAAAACACTGGTGTTCTAAAGGTCACTGTGTGGCACTGAATTACATTTATATTTAAACGGACAAGAGCAGTTAGTCCACGGTTAGCACTTTTTACATTAATTTAATCATAACCCTCAGAGTAGCCATTAATACTGAAATGGAGACCACAAGCCATTAGCAGTTTTATGATTTCTGTGTGCCACAGTTTCTGGAATTATAAATGTGTGTGTACTTGTGTGACTCTGAATATTTTCCTGAGTTTTAATGCACAACCCAATATATACCCTTCTGCTGTTTAGACCCAGATTTTAAAGAATAATCTCAGAGATAAATTTGC